TTCCCATCACTTCTCAAACAATAATAATAGCAAGAAGAAAACATAAAAACCCTATTCTAGTTTTATTTGTATTCATTGATCAAAATAGATAGTATCTCTTGTTTCAAGTCAAACTCTCAGGGCTTCCCAAATGTGACTTAGTATTGTTTTGCTTTATTTTAATGTTTAAGGCATTGTAGGATGATAGTTACCTAACATACAGTCAACTTGTTGTCATAAATGAACAATAAAAGTGTTATCATAAATGAATATAAATGGTTATTTTCAATTTCTCTATAATCCTGTCTCAAAGTCAGAGTGTAAGGCTTGCAGAAAGAACTGAACTTACACAGAATTAAACTGTTTCAAACTATACTGGGTCTTCTTCTTTTACCTTTTCTTTTTGTATCTCTTTTACAAACTACTTTGTTATAAGTAGTATCTCAAATAATTCACTCCTCTCATTTTTCTTTTGTGGCTTAAATTCATCATCAATCTCAGGAAAAAATATAATAGCTTAAAATAATACTATATTTAAATGGTTTGTAATGCAAATAAAGTCCTTTGTCCCTACAAATAAATACTTTATTGACAAATGTATTACGCTCTATAGAACGGAGCATGATTAACATAGTTGGAACATCTAGTTATAAAAGGATGTCTGTAAGAGCATTTTTGTATTGATTTTTGTTTGTCGAATCTATGTAACAAACATGTTAATTATATTTGTTCATGAATGTTAAAATTATCCTGAAATATTTTAAGGTTTAATTTTTGCCAGTACTGGTATTTGTAATCTTTCCATTTTCACTCCAATTTTTTCCTGTAGCTTATCTTATATTGAGTAATTTCAACACCATCAATCTATGCATAGACAATGCTTTATCAAACACAGGACATAAAACCTGGAAATGAAAATTCCTACAATTAACATTTCTGTCACATATACTACATTCAGAAATGATGTAGACCTTTCTCCAAATTCTAGAAGTTCTTCCTGCTTTCAGTGTTTGTTGCTTGACAGAGAATTATTATATAACATATACATCTAGATTTATAACCTATTTGATAATAATGCTTTTCATACATGGGTTCTACCTGAATATAACCTATTTTAATTTAGAGTAACACTTCTATATACTATAGATGGTTTTATAAATATTTTTGAATAAAAAGTCTTCTACACAAGACTTTTCCTGAGTTTTCTCAATATAAATTTTATTGACTTTCTTTTCCTTTATGTATTTTAATCCTGTCTAGTGGTCTTGATAAAGCTGGAATCTATATGGAAGAAACCATGTACCAGACTAAATATGTGGCCTTCTAACATCCAATGGCATGCCATGATTTGACTTCGTATGAAAAATAAAAGCAATACTCAGCAATTTCAGCAAAATAAACATGGTTCAAGCAAATTTAACATACAAGCTATAGGCTCTAATGTCTTATTAAATACCATATTTCACCACCACTTTCTTTTCAGTGGTATATTTGAGATTTGTTGCTTTTCAACATATAATAATGAATACCAATAGGATATTTTTTTAAGTTCATCAAAAATATTTATTTTTTAGATCCATTTTTCCATGAACTTTAAAAATTTTTTTCACTCATTTGAGAGACATAAGGGGATAGGGGGAGATTACATTTGCTGGTTCACTCCCCAAATGCACACCCCAGTTTGACTTTGGCCAGGACTGGAGGCAGGAGCTAGGACTGCAATTTAGGTCCCACACATGGAGGGCAGGAACCTGAATACTTGAGCCTTCCCTTGCTGCCCTACCAGGGACTGCATAAGCAGGAAGTTTGAGTCAGAGCCATAAGTGAGAATTAAACTCAGGCACTCCATTGTTGGACACTGGCATTTAAATATTTTTTTTTAACTCGTGGGCTTAATGAGCACTCCTGTATAGGCTCACCCTTAACAGGCTTTTGAAAATTATATATTCACATTTACCTTTTTACAAATATTTAGGAGTTTAGAATTAGAGTTTAATAACAGAGGGAAATCAGGTTTCATTGACTCTATCTATATGACTTGTGTTTAAACAAAAGGTTTAAGCAGTGATCAGTCCTGGAAGCGATTTAATATAATTGAAACTTACATCATCTGTCTATATTTGAAATAAGCCATACTATAATTAAAATTTCCACTTAAGGTAAAATTTGAGTGAGTATACGGAATTAAATTTTTATTTTATGTATGAAATAAATGAGAGTAGTTACACTTATTTTTCTAAAATATTTGTTTAATTAAGTAATTTCTAACTAGAAAGTGGAAATCACAATTATTTTTTAAAATGAAGAATTAACAATACTGGATTAATGTGTACATGATGTACGGTGACTGATTTGTACTCTGTAAAATGCAACTTGTAAAGAAGTGAAGGGAATTCAGGTATTGGAAATCATTGAAGCAAAAAAAATTCTATTTATAGTGAGAAACTACTAAATAGGATAAAATATTAAAAACAGTGGTTTTCCAGAAATTAAACAAGGTCAAAAATATATGTGTTTCTGGGCAGCCAAGAATCCCTTTTAGGGTGAAGAACAGGGGGAAAAAGGAAGACCTAAGGAACTATGCAAAGAATTTTTTTAGATTTGCATTTTGCTTGCACTGAATCTTCACTGAATGTTCAGCTGCATGTTCACATGGTGAAACTAGATAAGATCATGAGAGCAGATCTGTTTACTCTGTATTCTCCCGAAGGCCAGGTCATAAAGAACTGGTTAGCTATAAGCTGAAAGCTCTCAAAACTCTCTCCTGCATAGGTAGGTATTTTCAGTATTGATCAATCAGCATGCAAAGTCTTTGTTGGTCAAAGGGTAATTTAGTAGAGACACTGGGAATTCATGTTTCAGTAATGGAATTAACTTATCCCTAGCATAAATGTAACTTTAAGTTCAACCTAAGGAAGCTGTAAGACAAATTTGAAATACAGTAGTCCTCTGTTATCCACCAAGGATATATTCTACAACCCCAGGGAGCACCTGAAACTGTAGCCAGTACTGAATCCTACGTATACTATTTTTCCCTATACATACATACATATCTATTAAAGAATTCAATTTATAAATTAGGCACAGTGAGTTTAGAAACAATAACTAAAAATGAAACAATCATAACCATATAACCATGATAAACATTATGTGAGGCTGGTGCCGCGGCTCACTAGGCTAATCCTCCGTCTTGCAGCGCCGGCACACCAGGTTCTAGTCCTGGTAGGGGCGCCGGAGTCTGTCCCGGTTGCCCCACTTCCAGGCCAGCTTTCTGCTGTGCATGAATGGCTGTTCAAACAGGTACCTCTGTGGAGAGATGATCACTGGAGTGTCTTACTCAGCTTCCAGGAAGTGCAGTGGAGGATGGCCCAAGTGCTTGGGCCCTGCACCCCATGGGAGACCAGGAGAAGCACCTGGCTCCTGCCATCGGATCAGCACAGTGCGCCGGCCACAGCGGCCACTGGAGGGTGAACCAACGGCAAAGGAAAACCTTTCTCTCTGTCTCTCTCTCTCACTGTCCACTCTGCCTGTCAAAAAAATAAATAAATAAAATAAACATTATGTGAAATGTGGTCTCTCTCTTATGAAAATGGTCATGTAAATATTAATATCATTGAACTATGGTTGACCATGAAATTGCAGAAAGTGAAACCACAAGTACTGAGTACTTCTGTAACTAGAGTTATCCACAAGTAACTGCCTGCAAGAATAAAGGTGAGCACTTTAAAGGAAGATTATACAACCCATATACCTAACATACATAGTGTCTAGAATATAATAAAAAATTACCACTCATGCTAACAGTAACGAAAATGTAACACATAATTGGGGCAAAATAAAGTTAACTAGAATACAGAAATGAAATGAGAGTTATAAATAATGTGATTTAAACATAACTATGGGGGCTAGCACTGTGGTGTAGTGGGTACGGCAGCCGTCTGCAGTGACAGCATCCCATACGGGCACTGGTTTGAGTCCCAGCTGCTCCACTTCTGATCCAGCTTTCTGCCATGGCCTGGGAAAGCAGTAGAAGATGGCCCAAGACCTTGGACCCCTGCACCCACATGGGAGACCCAGAAGAAACTCCTGGTTCCTGGCTTCAGATTGGCACAGCTCCTGCTTTTGCAGCCAACTGGGGAGTGAACCAACAGACATAGGACCTCTCTCTGTTTCTGCATCTCTTCTCTCTGTGTAACTCTGACTTTAAAATAAATGAATAAACCTTTAAAAATAAAATAAAACCATTTTATTCTAATATTTTAAAACAAAACAATTGTTTTAGGCACAATTTGACTGGGATTTATAACATAAAGTAGTAAAATACTCGACAATGATATTGAGTGACTAAGGCTGGTGCTACATTGCAGAGGATTAAGCTGCTGCCTGCAACACCAGCATCCCTTATGGGAATTGGTTGAATCCCAGATGCTCCACAGTTTCCTGCTAATGCACATGGGAAAGCAGCAGAGGATGCTCCAAATACTTGGACTCCTGCACCCACATGGGAGACCCAGATGGAGTTCCAGACTCTTGGCTTTAGTATGGCCCGGCACCTGATGTTGTGGGCTTTTGGGGAGTTCACCAGTGTATGGAAGAGCTTTCTCTCTCTCTCTCTCATATCTCTTTTCTCTCTCTAACTCTGCCTTTTAAATAAATAAGTAAATCTAAAAAATAAAAATCAAGAGAGCTAATTGCAGTAGAGTAATTGAATAGTTTTTATATTTAAAAAAATATATTATTTGAAAGTGGACTTGGATACATGTTTTAATACTACAGCAAACACAAACACACAAATCAACTGAAAAAGCATAGCTAATAGGACATAAAATGGGATGGCTAAAATTCATCCAAATGAAGATAGAGGGGGGAAAAAGAGGAGTAAATAATGGTTTTGAAAATAAAACAAATAGTATGATCACAGATTTCACCTCTAAACAATCAATGACTGCATTAAATATATCCCAAACACTCCAATTGAAGGTCTAGGCCAAGAATTGCAAAAGACTTAAAGTTGTATTATATATGTGAGATAATATGTGCCATAGTTTCATAGACACTCTCTATCAATAGAGAAGACAACTAGATGGAGACAAAGGACATTACTATTCACACATCAAAAGCCAACAAATGCATTTGTACATTTGCTTCCCTTTTCTCTCCAAACCCCATGAGGAGAATGCATTTATGTGCTCAAAGACATAAGGACATTATCCCTATAATGGGTTTGTGTCACAGCTAAGGAAGCTCCATTCTCATTTAACAATATGGAGCAAATCTGCCCAAGTTTTGCTAAGCTGGGAGACATTAGCTCCATCATCTTGGACAGTAAATAAATCTATGCCAGAGATACACGCTATATGTGTCTTTCAAGTTGGCTGCTTTAAACAACTGAAAAATATAGTGAGGGGAATACCATCAAGCATAGAGACAAGATGAACAGGCAGAGACATTCAAGTAGATGGGAAATGTTATTGTGCTTTTCTTGAGAAGGAATTCAAGAGGTAAGCTAAACAATGTATATAGGTTCAGAATTGGGTAGGTGGAATAATTTCAGTTGGCTCTGGGCCAAGGCTTGGTCCCTAGTTGTTAGTACCCCACTCCCAGATGATTCCTGCAGGGCAATAGTGTCCCAGGCTGCCTGAGCTTAAAAAGGAGGTGGCTGGTTTGCATATTAAAGCTTGCTCCTAGGCAAATTGTTTGCTATCTCTGGAACTAATTAACCCTGGGGGAAGGAGTCCTCCTGGGTCAGATCATCAAGAATACAGAAAATGAAAAGCATAGCTAACCCAGAAGCCAGCATCAGCCTGATGCCAAAACCATACAAAGGGGCCAGGGTTGTGGCATAGAGGGTAAAGCTGCCGCCTGTAGTGCCAGCATCCCATATGGGTGCCAGTTAGAATCCTGGATGCTCCACTTCCAATCCAGCTCTCTGCTGTGGCCTGGAAAGTAGTAGAAGATGACCCAAGTCTTCAGGCCCCTGCACCTGTTTGGGAGACCTGGAAGAAGCTCCTGGCTCCTGGCTTTGGATTGGCACAGATCCGGCCTTTGCTGCTATTTGGGAGTGAACTGGAGGATGGAAGACCTCTCTCTCTGCCTCTGCCTCTCTATAACTCTGCCTTTCAAATAAAATAAATAAATCTTAAAAAAAAAACATTAAAAACCAAACAAAAACATTACAAACCAATGACTTTCATGAATTAAGACATTTCTTAACAAATTATTATTATAAAATTGAAGCTAGCAATAAACAAAAACAATAATACACCATGACCAAGTGAGATTTATGCCAGTAGTACAAAATTGTTTGACATTCTCAAATCAACAGAGGCAGAAATGACATTTTAAAATTTTCTTGACAAAAATAATTGCAAGTAGAATGGAATTTTCTCAAAATGATAATGGGCATGTGTAAAATATCTATGGCCAACAATCATACTCAATGTTTAAAGACATAATGGTTTTCTACTAAGCCAAGGAATTGTTTTTATATCCTCAATATTTTCCTAAATCCTAACTGGTGTAGATAAAGTAACAAAAAAAAATAAAAAGTACACTGAAAATGGGTAGCTGATAGTGTCTGTATTGTATAATAATCTATAATAAAGAGATTTAATAGCTTTATAGAGTATACAGTCAATATTCAATAATTATATGTCTTTTTTTAACAGTGAAAGTCAGAAATGTTGGAGTGTGGGAGAGGTATTTCATACATAGAGATGATACCTGATGAATAAATAGCAAAATTTTGCTGAGAGAAAAGACCTGAGTAACTGATATAATGAAGATGTTACTTCTCCAAAAATTGTTGTACAGATTCAGTACAATTCCGATCAAAATCCCTGCAGGTAGTGCGTGTGTGTGTGTGTGCGTGTGTGTGTGTGTGTAGTGGGGAGGGAGGTATGCTGGGTGGAAATGGAAAAGCTTATTTTTAAACTTGTAAAGAAATGCAAAAGTCTTAGAACAGTTAAATAATTTTGAAAACCCAATAACTTTAAAAGATATATACTACCTAAAAATTTAAAACATTACTGTACATCAGTATTCATCTAGGCAGTGTAGAATTGGCATAAGGGGAGACATATAGAGCAGGATAACCACATAGTATGGGAAATAGACCAATAAATATTTGGGAAATTGATTTTCAGCAACAGTGCCAAAATTCAGGAAAAGACAGATGTTTGAATGCATCACATATCAATATCCTTTTGGGAAAATATGGCCAGTGACAAAAACTTTACCTTATCGCATAAACAAAGATTAATTTAAAATAGGTGACACATTTCTAATTATGGAACTATAAAATTAGGTATGGTTAATGCTGGATCCTGAGCAGGATCCTGAGCCAGAGTTTGGTTGTCTTACAGTCACAGTTGGAACATCATTATCTTACAGTCCCACCATTGTCTTAGAAGTCAGTCAGCCAAGTTTGAAAAGCCAGCTCAACCTTGCCTAATGCCCACCCACCCAGAATGGAAAGGAAGCCTTGACTAAATTCCTAGTTGGTATTAACACAATGCTCTCTACTCTGGCTGATAGTAGGTCCCTCTCAGGTTTGTCTGAGAATAAACCTGTTCTTGCTGTTGAGCTCCTGGTCTGTCTCCTCTTTGCCTTGTTTTTCTAACAGTTCATAAATCTACAATGGTGTACTTCCAGAAATTCTTGCAGAAACCATTTTGAAACATGCTCGTTTCATTTTAAAACTTCCATTATTCAAAAGTGGTCTTTAATTAGAATTAAGACAAGCCAAACACTGGAAGAAAATATTAAGAATAGCAATTTATTTTAAAACATTCAATTATTTTATTTGAGAAGAAGAGTGACAAGAGAGAAGAGATCCTATCTGCTGGTTCACTCATCAAACTCTTTAAGATTTTATTTATTTATTTGACAGGTAGAGTTACAGACAGTGAGAGAGACAGACAGAGAGAAAGGTCTTCCTTTTCCATTGGTTCACTCCCCAAATGGCCTCTACAGCCGGTGCTGCCTGATCCGAAGCCAGGAGCTAGGTGCTTCTTCCTGGTCTCCCATGGGGGTGCCTTCCCGGGCCACAGCAGAGAGCTGGACTGGAAGAGGAGCAACCAGGACTAGAACCCAGTGCCCATATGGGCTGCTGGTGCTGCAGGCGGAGGATTAACCTAGTGCGCCACGGCGCCGGTCCCATCCTCAAACTCTTGAGAGCTGGGAATTCATTGCAGTTCTCCCACGTGGATAGCCCAAACCCAATCTGTTCAGCCATCAACTGCTTTCTTTCAGGGTCTGTGATAGTAGGAAGCTAGAATGAGTAGCAGAGACAGGACTCAAATACAATTGCTCTGAAATGGGATGCCATGGCAAAAATTTGGAAACACCTTGAATATCCACCAATAAACAAATTAATAAGGAAAGCATAGAAAGTGTCTTACTAATAACCACAAATAAAATCTCTTGCCAATGCAGAAAACCTCTCAATAAAGGCAGAAAGGAAATGAAAAAGCTGTTTCATTATTGAAAAAACATTAATCCAACTGTGGTTTGTTTCAGAGATAAAAAGATTGTAACCAAAACAGAAATCTGATCATTTTATAGTATGTATCTATAAAACAATTAACTACTAAGAGTATATATAAAACAGATTGCAGATGCCATCCATTACATACACATTAACTTTAAATAAAAGAGTAAAAGCATCTATATTTTGATAAGCAAAAAGCTACATCTTGAAATTAAATGTCTCACACATTAAAATCTCAAGATGATAGGGAGCCAGGTGCCACCCTTTTGGATGGTTACATTCCTAGGAGAAAGCTATTAGGCCTCCAAAGATGTCCTGAGATGCAAAACTTGCAAGAGGCCTGTTAACTTTTAAAAAACTTTATTTACATCTTAATGAAACAGAGCACTTACAATTTCAAGTTTTCTAAAGTAAACACCAAAGATAAGGGAAGGGGTAGGTTCTCTTTCTTTGCAATGGAGAACATTTTCTCTTCTTTATAGATTTACATTTATCCTTAGAAAGGTCTATATGGTGGAGCAATGCTCAATACTGAAAAGGAATCATCCACTATTTCATGTAACAATAGAAGAATCCCCCAAATACTCTGCCATATACAAACTTATATGTTGTCTATTCTATTTCTGTGCAAGTTTTAAGAAACTTTAGTGATTTTAATCAAATCAGTGGTTGCACAGATCCAGGTATGGAACAGAGGATTTGTGAAAATGAATACAAGAATATTCTGGGGTAATGGAAATCTTTTAAATCTATTTCTTTAAAAGATTTATTTGAAGGTACAGAGAAAGAGAAAGTGCTTCCATCTGCTTGTTCAATACCCAAATGCCTGCAACAGCCTGGGTGAGAGAGGCCTACCTAACTAGGAGTCAGGAACTTCATCTGGGTTCCAAAGTGGGTGGCAGAAACCCAAGCACCACATGCTGCTTTCCCTGGTACACTGGCAGGAAGCTGGATCTGAAACCAGGACTGTGACATGGGATGTGGGCATCTCATGTGCAAAAACACTCACTCCCATCTTTTACTCTGAATATGGTGTGCAGCTACATGAATGCACATTTGTTAAAACTCCGTGAACTGTACAATTAAAACAGGTACATGATACTATGTGTAAATTAGGTATCTATAAAAAGGAACCGCTAAGAATATTTATATAAAATGTTAGCAGTTGTTTCTGAAATGTTAACTCTTACTTCACCTTCGACCTTTTTGTAATGGTTGGAAGTTTATCAATACTCGGAAGTGAAGAAAATAATGAAAAAGTGTTTATGTAGAGAGGCAATCAGTAACTTCAGCATCATTTGTAAAAATGAATCTCAGATTCCACCGTACACTGACTAAATCTGCATCTATAGATGCCCGTGTGATTCTGTTTATTAAAATTTCAGAATCACTTAACTATTTCTGAGTAGATGCCGCTTTATTATCGCTCTTGGAGGCCTAAGGGAATCTCCAACACCAGAAGTTAGTGGAAAGCTCAGCTACAGCTTCGTTTATGGGGCTAGATGCAAAACGTGTGCGTCACTAACAGGGAGCCAGCGGTGCTGACGTCAACTTGCCATCGTGGTCCAGAGTCGCATCTCAGAGTCGCGTCATGCCTCGATCAACGGGGAGGCAGGGGAGCAGGAAGGCGTTTGAGAACCCTAGCCAGACTTTTCCATCCCTTGCCTGCAAATGGTTGCGGACAGCTAGGCTTAGTCCGCAGGCCCAGCGCTTCTGGGGCTCCGCTAGGCGGAACTGGGCGTAGGGAGCCGCTGTAGGTGGGGGGAGTCGAGGCCTGGGGTGCGGAACTGAGCTGCCGGCCTAGGGACGGGGGCGTGGCTTTGACGCAGACTGGAGGAGCCGAGAGGCCGAGGATAGGTGGGCGGGGAGGAGCTGCTGGGCAGGGGCGGGGCGTTGCCACGGGCGGAGCCGAGTCCAGCCACTGGGAGCCGGGTGGGGCGGGGGCGGGGCAAGCTACGAAGAGCGGGGACGCGCCTCTGACAGTGCAATCAGCGCCGCCTGGTCTCGGGTGGGCCGGGTCAGGGACCCCCAGTGGTGTCGTACCGATGGGGCTGTGTTTCCCCTGCCCGGGGGAGTCGGCGCCTCCCTCGCCCAACCTGGTGAGTAGGATCGCGTCCCCAGGTCTCTGCGACATCTGGGCCGCGCCTGGTGCACCTGTTCCCCGGAAGGGCGCGTGGCGAGGTGCGAGGGGCCGGCAGCTGGGCGGCGGCCAGAGCGTCGGAGCCCGCGGCTGGTGACTCTGGAGGCAAAAGCGCAGAGACGCGTAACAAGGGTCGCTGGGGTCCTGCCCGCGAGACCATTGTCCCGAGTCGCCTCGCAGGCCTTGTCACCTGTCGCTGACGCCGGCGGAATTCCGAGTTGCAGGTCGCCTGCTTAGGCTGAGCGTGCTGTGTCTGCGTCTTTGGTGGCGTAGTAGATGCAGTTTGGGTGCAGAAAGAGCTCTCGTCTCTCCAAGTGAAGCATTATTCTAGCAGATGTGCATTTTCATGTGTCTGTACCAGCTTCTTAAAGAAGGTACTAAGTAAACGTCCTTATATTCTGGGGCTTTGTTGGCTATTTTATTAATTGTTCACTTTCAGTATTTCTCAGTCTTTTAAGTCACTCTTTTAAAAATGCTTTGTGTAGTACAGATTGTACAGTTTTGCCGTGTTTAACACAAATGCCGGGAGCCCAGTTAAATTTCACATAAATAAGGATATATTTTTAATATAGCTTTGTTCTGCGCAGTATTTCGGATGTAGTAAAAATAATTTGCTGTTTATCTGAAATTCAAATCTGACCAGATTTTAAACAGTAGGTTTCTACTTTTTGCAGCTTTGTATAGTTTAAAGTATCTTCACGTTAGTACTCCTTATGAGGGAGTGGATAACATAGAAGACCTAAGTTCCTCTCTTTTATCCTGTCTGGATAGAAATTAGTTGGAGAAAATTAGTTATCTTGGGAAGTGTGTAAACTGTTTAGCCATTTGATTCTAAATACTAGAAATGACCCACAAGTTGATGTGGGAAAGCTCAGTTTGCCTTTGTTGCTGCTGTTGCGTTTAAATAAGTTCTTGTTTATGCAGTTTTTGATAAAATACTGGTCTGTTTGAGTTAAACCCTCGCCTATCCTGTACCATACTGCGCCCTTGATAACCACATGGCTCACCACTGGGATGTTCCTCTATCAGCAAAGCTTTAACTGAGCAACCTAAATAAAAGTCCCCACTCATCCCCCCATTAGTCTCCAGGACACCCTTTCTGTTTCCTCAAAGCACTCAGGCAGGTTTTCTTACTTGATTATATTCATCTGTGTGCCCTCAGGTTTTTGTTGTTGTGCTTGCTTTGTTGTTTTTTAAGCTGCTGCATTCCTAGCACCTAGAAAAGCTTCAGAGGCATGGTGCTGGTCAATAAATATTGACCCAATTGCTGAATGTAGGTATTTTGGTATTGAAAACAAGGGAATTATTACTACCAGTTCCCAAGGAAATGTTCTTATTTTCTTATGTGTTGAGAGAAAGAGAAAGCAATTATATTATTATAGAGCCCATCTGCTTATATTTATCTTACCATGTACTGAATTGAAGATACATTGTTTAGGAGAATTAACTTCCAGAGAGTATTTCATAAATGGTCTAAGAGCAGCATTCTTTTTGGGATATTTTGAGTTAGTACTTTCTGTTAAGATTTATTTATTTGAAAAACAGAGTGACAGAGAGAGAGAGAGAGAGAGAGAGAGAGAGAGGGAGATGGAAAGATCTTCCATCCACAGATTTTCTCCCTAAATGGTCACAATGGCCAGGACTGGGCAAGACTGAAGCCAGGAGCCTGGAATTCCATTAGGTCTCCCACGTGCGTGCTGAGGTCCAAGAACTTGGGCCATCTTCTGCTGCTTTCCTGGGAATGCTAGCAGGGAGCTGCATTGGAACTGGAGCTGCCTGGAGTCGAACTGTCGCTCATATGGGATGCTAGCGTTGCAGACACCAACTTAACCACTGTACCACAATGCCCATCCCTGGGCTAGTACTAATTGTTTTTTTTTTATAAACTATATTTTTCACAAAACATAGGGGTATAATTTATAATTTTGTTTTTTAAAACATTTATTCATATTCCTTAGGAAGAGAAAAGAGCAAAGCTCGCAGAAGCTGCAGAGAGAAGACAAAAAGAGGTGAGATTAAACATAAATTAAGCCTACTTAGATAATTAAAATTTGTATGTTAGTCTCCATACATGTTTATTATTAATGTTCTCTAGTGTACATTGTGTGATATCCTAAAAAATGTATAGTTAAAAGTAATCATTTTAAAATGATTTCCATGCTTGTATAAAGTGCATTAAAATACTTACATTATTTAATTTGTGAATATGAACTTATAGATGGCTTCTAAAATGTTATTTTCCTTTAATAACACATATTTCCTTAGAATAAAATGATCATGCCTTGTAAAACACTGACAGATATTAGGTAAGTTTAGAAGAAATTTTGTGTGGTTGGTTGCAAAATACCCAGTGAAGAAATGACAGTATGTTTTATGTAAGGCTGTTGTGAAATATTCTAATCCTTTGGTATTAAAAATAAACCAACTCATCACCCTCAAAGAAAAACCTGAAGAGCATAAGCCACCAACCAAACAGGAGAATTCCTTTTGCACACTGGATACTGATTTTTGTTGTTTTTCTACATCTTTTATCAAATTTCTTAAAGGCTGCATCCCGGGGAATATTGGATGTTCAATCTGTGGAAGAAAAGAGAAAGAAAAAGGAAAAAATAGAAAAGCAAATGGCTACATCTAGGCCCCCACCAGAAGGTGGCCTTAGAGTAAGTCTTAAAATTTATTTAGAGTTTAACTTAATGGACATTTCTTGAAAAGTTAAGTGGCAGTCCCTGTAATAATTATCTCTTGAAATGCATTATCTAACATTTTGAAGTAATTTAAAAGCAAGAGTCATATAGATTAGAAGAGATATCAATTTATTTTAGCACTCAGGAGTAGATTTTTCCTTTTTGCTGACATCAGAACAGTTCTTCCTAATTATCTTTACAATGATACTTTTATACTTATGAGAGTACTTCAGAAAGTTCATGGAAAATACTTAAAAGAGAAATTGATTTTGGTGCATACTCATTTTGAAATCCATGCATAATTTTTTTCATAATATGAGTTTTTCATGAGCTTTTGGAAGGCCACTTGTATTACTGATCTTAAATATGTTGAATATTCAAGCAATGTAGAAAATACAAAGAAGAAAGTAACAGTCACCCAAATGTAAAGACTTTTTGACAGACATTGTTTCTAGTCTGCATTTACGCATCAGCTTTACTCATTTGGATTACACTATAAATTCTTCTTATGATTTTTTCACTAAATGATTTGGGATCTTTGATCTTTCCATTATCATAATCTTAGGTTAATTTAAACCATTGACTATACAGGTGTGGGTGAATCCATAGTAGAACTAAGCCCCTGGGAATGTAATAGTGAACAAGTTAGGCAAGGTCCTCAGCTAGAGAATCTTTACTGTTAGTAGCACAGTAAAGGTTTCATTTCACATGTTAAAGCCTAGGAAGAGGATCTCTTCTCCGCCTTTTGGCTAAGATTGGTGAAGCCTAGGAAGATAATTTTAAAGTGTTTGTCTTGGATTATTTTCAAAGACCTTATTCTTAATTAAAAAAATGTTTGTGGAAGGGACAATGTCCTTAATTTGTCATTTATATTTACCTTTTAAATGATTTATGAGCACTTTTTAGTTGATTTGCTGTTTTTGCAAGTTTGCTCTCAAAACTACACACACACACACACACACAACACACACACACCCCAAATTTGTGGCGAAGGGAACTTAGGAACATTCTACTCAGGGATAGTACATAGAGATAAGAGTTATCTGTGTTTTGCCACTGTACATTTCTTCATCTAATTCCACTTAATGGAGGAAATTAAAAGAAAGCCATTTGGCTTCTAACTGGTGAACTTTTAACAATGTATACAATTATTGCTCTCAGTATTAAGGCAAATAAACAACTGACCATTTTGTTTATGATATTTTTATACAATCTCATAAGAGAAAAAGATCTACTGTAAAATAAAACAGTTGGGCAATCACATGGTCAAAACTCTAATAAATTCTTTCATTATTCTGTTGAGATAAAGAGCTACCTCTCCAATGTACTGAAAATAGGTTTTTCTAACAAACAAAAATAACATTAAGTTATGACAGTAGAATTGATGTTCTATAGTATTTATGATGTCCCATACTATTTCATAGTAGAAGCAAAGGTATTAAGTTAAACTCACATAGAAATTACAAGAAAAGGATAATTTAATCTATGCATGGTCAAAATTAAGATAACTTCTTTTGCATGTTCTAATAAATATAATACCAATTTGAAAACTCTTAAGAAAGGGGATTTATTTCTTGTTTCTAAGGTTTATTTATTTACTTGAAAAGCAGAGTTACAGAGAGAGAGAGGGAGAAACAGATCTTCCATCCACTGGTTCCCTTCCCAGATGGCTGCAATAGCCTGAGCTAGGACAGGCCAAAGCCAAGAGTCAAGAGCTTCTTGTGCGTTTGAAGGGCCCAAGTATTTGGGCCATCTTCTGCTGCTTTCCCAGGCATATTAGCATGGTGCTGGATCAGAAGTGGAGCAGCTGGGACAAACTTGCGCACACATGGGATGCCCATGTCGCAGGTGGCAGCTGATCTTTCTATACCACAATGCCAGCCCTCTAGAAGGGGGTTTTCTTAATTAAGCTTTCACAAACTGAAGCCTGAAGATTAATAAGAAATTAGCCCTCATATTACTTCTGATCCCCTCAAAGGTGCTCAATGTGAAAACCAGTACCAATGTTAAATTTGTTTCCTTTTTTTTCTTTATGTGCTATTCTAAGGAATCCCTCTGACTTCTTTAACAAAAAATGATTCTCAAGGCCATTACTCTGTTCTCAGCTCATACTCTACTGAGTGGTTCACTGTCCTAAACCATTATGGTTGTCCACCGCGTCATTTTCCTTTGGAATATTCCTAATCGCCCCTACCAACAACTTGCTTGCTCCAAGAAGCATGCTGCTTTCCTACTGACCACCTACATACCTCAGGGGGAACTTGAAGTTTAAAAAAAAAGAATTTGGAATTTTATGAATAATAGAAAAATACAAGTTGTGAATAACAATCTTTAAGCCTCTTGGCTGGCTTAGTGGCCTTTTAGATCTGCTATCTGGCCAATTCCATGAACTGGCTTGAAGCGACCTATAGAAGAGTTCAATTCTTCCTAACTGCACTTTATACTATGAGAAGAACATTTCTTTCCCTTTATTTATTTGAGATGTAGAGTTACAGAGAGGAAGAGATGGAGAGAAAAATCTTCCATCTGCTGGTTCAGTCCTCAAATGGCCACATGACTAGAACTGAGCCAGTCTGAAACCAGGAGCCAGGAACTTCTTTGGTCCCACACCAGGGCAGGGGCCCAAGTGCTTGCTGCATCTTCTGCCACTTTCCTAGGCCATAGCAGAGAGCTGCATCAGAAGACCTGAACTGGGGCCCATATGGGATGCTTTTACCCACGATGCCACAATATTGGCCCAACTTTTCCCTTTCATAATACTTCCCACATACTCATTTCCTGATTAGCCCTACCTCCTCCCAGGATAAATGGCTTGGATAATAATGCTCACTATCTTTTAGAAAGTAATTCTTACCTTAAAAAATCTACATGTTACAAGAAGCAGACTTGTTACTTACAGGCAGGCAGCAAGGCACAAGAGAAGTCTGGGACTCAGTGAGAATGAGTCCGAGGCTCAGGAAAGCTGTCCGAGGTGCATAGGGGCCTTAACTCTTATGTCCCACTTTTACCTCAGATAATGGCCCTTGGAAAGCAGGTCATTTTGAGTTTTACAACCCCAGGGGCAACATGACAGTCTGGGTTAATGCACTGACTGATCTGCTGTTTCTTGAGAATGTGGGGGAAAACTGGCACAGAGCCCAGGCTGGACTGGCTGGTCCCTTTCCATCCAAGGATGTTACATTCCCAGCATATTCAACAGCTATTCTCGAGAACTCCAGGCAGGAAAGTGGGGAGAACTGGGTCAGTCCAAGATCACCCAGAGAATGCTCCTGCAGCTAAGCACTGATCTGCCCCGATCTTTTTTTTTTTTTTGTATTTTCTTTGTATTGCAATTTTGACTGTAATAAAAATTTTATCATTAGCTGCTATTCACAAAATCACTTTGCATTTTTATATGCTACATTCCTCTTTTTATTTATTCACTGGAAGGTTGTATAACTTTACATAAAAATTATTTTTCTCTATTTTTATCTCTTCTAGTGGACAGTTTCATAAAGAATACCATGAGTGGAACCGTCTACTGTCAGTAACTTAATATCTACAATCAAGTGGACTCTTCAGTTTAATTTCTTCTCTTTGAATAAATGAAGATTTAGACTTTGTAATGTTAGTGCCCTTAAATGTAGTGCCAAATCTATATTGACTATATTGAAACATTTCTGATTCTAACACTTATAAAATGGCGAGAATTCTCATTATATCCTCCCCCCCACCCACATTTGATCTTCTGCAAATAGGGAGTGACTTGCTAGCTTTTAGTAGTTACAACATGCACTTAAATATTCACTATGCATATATGGCTTGTAAAAATGCTGCATTCACTATAATATTAAAATTTGCAATTATATTTTCCTTCCTTTTCAAATGGATCTAGTACGAGTTGCACTACTTAGCCTTATTTCTGTTTCTATTTCATTACATATAAAAATTTTATGTAAACTTACAAATTTAGTGCCTTTAAACTGATCATCAGGGAAAATCATGAAAACCCATTTGAAGGGCTTATGTAAAGGAACACTATTATGTTTTGTAACTAAGTAACGTATATTTATAGATGAATGTTGAATTTCTCCTAATTTATTTTCTATTTCTATAGCTTATAAAGTTAATATATTGTTTTACATTATATTTAAGAGGCTTTTTTGTTTGCTAAATTTAAAATTTATATTAGTTGATACCATCAGAGGGCAGTGATATACTATTGTAGAATGTCAGATTCAGCTCTATAAAGATCTTTATAGTAACTGAGTTAAACAGAAAATCTGTACAGGTTATAATGAGTGATTATTTGTCAAATTTTTTGATCATTTTTGTATTTATTAAAGGATAACTATAAGATTTATACAGATGTGAAATTGCCAAGGCATGCATGAATGTATAAAAGAAAAATATATAGGTACTGTATTTTAAAAGATGTACTTAAAACGTAAAAAATTAGGAGGTAATTCTGTATGACGCATAATGAAAAACTGGATCTTGTTTATTAGGAACATGACAGCATCTTTAGTTTTTATTTTTGTTTTTAATATATAATAAGCTAAACTAGAGCTCTAAATAAGAACTTGTAAATATTAAGTGCCAATAGGGGCTTTAAGTTAAATAGACCAAATCACTTGATTTATAAAAAGGAAACTGAGCCACTATCTAATTCATCCCTCCCACATGGCTTGTGTTATATTACAGTATATAATACATGTTAATTTTAAAGAGTTTGAAATATAGCACAGTTCTCTTGACTCCTCATGGAAAAATCACTTTCTCGTTATGTTATTAAATATTCTATGAATATCCAGGCAAAACATATAGTTACCAGGTTCCCTTTCCTTAATCTCGAGGATGAGTAATATTTTGCTCATACAACCTAGTGGAATGAAATGACTGAATTGCATTTTAGTGATAAAAATATTGACTTTATCAAAATAATTAATTTTTCCAAGGTAGAAAGGAAAAAGGATCATTAATGGATGAGTGTATTAGAACCAGGGCGTATCTTCCTTGAACTGAACAAATCCTCCCTTCTATTTTATTATAATAAGAAAAGTTTATCTTAAATTTTAAAGATTTAGAACTTGTCCACAAAAGTTCACTTCAAGGGGAATAATGCTCTGTATCTAAAAGTAGTTTATACACAAATACAATGCTTAATTACTGTTGAAAGATGAATGATATTCATCTTGGGGGAAAATGGGATATGCTGTTCTTCCCAACCAGGAACTGCCTCCACAATGTAATCAGCTTTCCCAGGAATCACTTGAGTTGCAGGAACTACTGGTGATTCCCAAGTGCTGAGATATTTTGGAAAGAGAAAGAAAGGAGACTGGATACCTGGTAGGAAACCAGTAAATGACTACTAAAAATAATTCACTTGCATCCAGACTTTTCCCCTTCAAGTTATGGATCTGTTCCTATGAAAACTTTAAATGGGGGCCAATTTCCTTTAATTTAATTAGGACATTATAATTCCTAATATGCCACCTAAACCCTCAGAATGCTAAAATATAACAACACAGTAAAATGCAGCATGTAACTATCATGTTGAGATGTAAAATGTATGAACTACTGTCTCTGTTCTACTACTGTTAATCTAAATGGCAGCAAAAGGTTGTATATTATTACATAGCTTTTTGTGATATGCTGCATGTTTTGTAAACATCCATATGTGATGCTGTCCTTCTACAAATTATATTTGGAATGTAATTTCATAGTTCTTCTGCACAGTGTTTTGTTATAAATTCTGTATTGCCATTTGGGATATGAATATAACCTTTATGATATAAAAAGTGGCATTAGTCTTCTCTGTTTAACAAAATGTTCTATTCACCCTATTCACCACATTTTTTTTTTAAGATTTTTGTTTATTTATTTGAGTGGTAGAGTTACTGACAGTGAGAGGGAGAGACAGAGAGAAAGGTCTTCCTTCCGTTGGTTCACTCCCCAAATGGTTGCAATGGCTGGAGCTGAGTCAGTCAGAAGCCAGGGCCAAGTGCTTCTTCCTGGTCTCTCATATGGGTGCAAGGGCCCAAGCAGTTGGCCATTTTCCACTGCTTTCCCAGGCCACAACAGAGAGCTGGATCGAAAGAGGATTAGCCAGGACTAGAACCGGCACCCATATGGGATTCAGTGCCACAGTCAGAGGATTAACCTACTTCACTACCGGCCCCAACAGCACATCTTTAATTAGAACCTGTGTTGGTGGTTAGAGGGACTTTAGGAACACTTTCATCCGTTTGTGATTAGTAAGGACAATAGAGCTGAACACTGGTTTGTTTATACAATCCCAGGACTTATTTTTGGGAATGTTTCTTATAAGTGAGAAATGATATTATTAGCCTCCTGTTTGTTTTTGTTTTGTTTTGTTTTGTTTTGTTTTGACAGGTAGAGTTATAGACAGTGAGAGAGAGACAGAGAAAGGTCTTCCTTCCATTGGTTTACTCCCCTAATGGCCGCAACTGCCAGAGCTGCGCTGATCCGAAGCCAGGAGCCAGGTGCTTCCTCCCGGTCTCCCATATGGGTGCAGGGACCCAAGTACTTGAGCCATCCTCTGCTGTCCTCCCAGGCCACAGTAGAGAGCTGGACTGGAAGAGGTGCAACTGAAACTAGTACCCGGTACCCCAACCGGGACTAGAACCCAGGGTGCCAGTGCTGCAGGCAGAGGATTAGCCAAGTGAACCACAGCACCGGCCTCCTGTTTTTTTAGAGAAATAATGTAGTAAAGTTTCTATCTGCCACCCTTGATACTGCAGAATTCACATAAACTGAATTTTCCAAATAAGTTTGTCTTATTTTCAGTAAGAATTATGCCACATCATTAAAAGGAAAAAGGTACCTCACAATTTTTAATAGTATTTTATGCATAAGTAGACTAGTAAGAGGTGGGTAGATGTGCCTGTATGTCTGTGTTGAGATTTAAGATGTGTTTATTTAGTATATTTTCAAATCAAGCATTTGAATTTTCCTGAATGACCAAATAAGCTCTAAGCTGATTCAGACATTTATTTTGATTTTATAAAAAAAATGACTGACAAAATGCTTTTGTTTGTATAGCAGACTTTGATGAATTTTTGGTTGGACAGTGAGATGAGAAGTTTGTGACTCAATAACTCAAACACTGAATTTCTCATTGAAACAGCTTTGTATTACCCTGTTCTCTCTCTTATAGGTATGCTTCATCCTGCAAATATCCTTCAAAATATTGCTGTGGCCCCAAAATAGAATATTGTTTGATTGTTATCATACCCTGAGATGCACTGATTATCTTTATAGCACGATACTTGACTTGTGCTGAGTTTTGTATTAATGTCTTATAGTTACACAGTTTTGAGTTATCCTTTGCATGTACTTCAGACATACATCAAATGACATTTGTTTTGTACATAAATTGGCTGTCTCTAGGCCATTTCTGTGAAAACTTACCTTGTCGCATGAATCAGAAGTCAAGGAGTTATCCTAAACTAATTTTTTTTCCTAGTTAAATCCTACAATGCCATGTTCTTTTCTGCATTTTTGGGATATGGTCAGACTATTTGTAACATGTACTTAAAGTAGGTTAAAAGAATACCAAGTGTCTCACATTTAGAAAATTCTGAAGTATCTACACAAATATGGTAAAAATATTAAATAACATTTGTAAGGTAGTAGAATGCAAGGCTAATACATGTACTCAGTTCTATTTCTATATGCAAACCATGAAAATAAGAACAAGAAAACAATTCCAATCACAGTATCAACAAATAAAATAAAATACTTAGGAAAAACAAAAGAAGTAAAAGCCTGCACACTAAAAAACACAAAACATTGTGTGGATATTAAAATCTATATGAGACATTGCATGTCCATGCAGTAGAAGCCAACATTATAAAGGTGACTGCAAAATTGTGGCCTCTGGAAGGTTGAAAGGGCAGAATAATGATTTCTCTACCAGACCTTTCAGAAAGGAACACAGTCCTGACTTTTTTTTGGCCCAGTGATAACCATATTGAACTTCTGACTACAGAACTGTAAGATAATAAATTTTGTTGATTAAGCCACCAATACTGTGGTAATTTAAGGCACCTAAAGATAACTTACACAGTAGATTCAGATTAATGTTATTTTTGTTATACTACATTCATTTTTGAACTGAATCAAATTAACTTTTATGATTAATGATATGAATGTCTTTTGATAGCATTTTTAACAATTACTATGGAGATATTGTTGATATTGGTCTATTAATAAAAACGATTAAATGTTGAATTTTAAAAGATATTAGAATTATTTCCTTAACCAAGGTGATTTCATCACCTAAAAAATGTTAGGATTTGTTCATTCTTTTAGCTTGCTTGTTTTTAAATTTTATTGACTTCTTTTTTTTCCAGATTGACAACTGCCACTTGTAGCACAACCAATTATACCATGCCTGTTAAAAAGTTTCCCAGCAGATTGTGTATGTTTTGACTAAACTGACCATGCAACAGTTCCTCTTCCCTGATCTTTTGGATCAAAAAAAGGAAAATTTTGTTGTTTTTGAAAAATGAAGAAATAGCAAAATAAGTAACTGTATACTGAGAACAGCACTTATGGCATTACCTACGATAAAATGCAAACCCTGTGCTGAGGAGAACAGACACCATCATCACTCACCTTCCCCAAGTGAAGCAGTGCTAGGGAACCATAATTTCACCCTTAAAACTCTCAGGGAAAGTTGCCATTTGAAGATTAACTTTATTTCAGAAGGAGGCATTGATATACAGACAGATAGCATTTTAAAAATTTACCTTTTTAATTATGGAATCAGTGAGGACAATAGTTTGCTGTTTATTGGTACAAAACAGCCCTGTCCCAGGTATATAAGGGTATACATAAGTCTGTAACATCATTAGCTACAGTAAATTTACTAGACAGTAGAGCAAAGTAGGATTAACTAAAGATAGATTTTAATAAGAAAATGCTTTGAAATAACATGAAGTCAGTGAACCATTTGACTGTACAGTTTATTCATCAAAATATAAACGTATGTCAGCTTATATGTGTGAATTATGCTAATTCATTCTAAACACAGCCACGTGCTTAGGAATGTGTGAACTTCATAAACTATTCTCTAAGGGGGTGTACTGAAAACTTCCAAAAGTACCCCAGATATTTGGTCATAGATAAGCGATAAACTTTAAGGCAATCTTCCAAGTGAATGTAAACTTCTCTGAAATGATCTTTCCAGTAAAGTATCATTGCTGTGAATACTCTGTACTTATTTATAGTGCTGTTGCATATTTTTAGTAGCACATTATCACACTAATTGTTATTTTGTAAAAAATATCTTAAAAATCCTGCAATTATAAAAATGTCTGGGGTGCTTTTACTTGTAGACATACAGCAGGCACTTTCTGTTGACATATCTGCAAATCCTAAATACTTACTCCTAATAACAGGTTTTATTTATCTTTAGCTAGAATTGTGTTCCTAATTTTGTTTGTGTTCTAAATCCTGTGCTTATGTATTGAGAAATAATAATTTGCCTACAATTTATCTAATTTAAATCTGAATTTAGAATTTCTTTTGAAAGGTCCTTTTCTACAGAAGCTTTCAAAATAAATAGTGCTACTACCTTTGAACATGTTTTAATGTGATGACATTTTTCTGTCTGTTACACCTTTTTCCAAAGTAGTTTTCAGAGCATATGAACTAAACTGACTACACTGGAGAAGTAGATGGATACAGGCCATTATGAGAGTCCTCCTGTAGTTACCAACTAGTTTCATTTAATCTCCTTCTTAGCCTTATAACTGGCAGAGACCACCAAGTAATTATCTGGATTCATGTCCTTAAGGGTTGGAGATTTACTTTGGATGGGGGATGTCTTGCCATCCACACGGGAGATCTGCAGCATTCGGCAGGGGTCATGTTTCAACAAATACCCTGCAAAAGTTTCCCAGCCTCCTCCCACACGGACCATGACATGTTTGTTGTGCAGCATCTGAAATGAAAGACAAGCAAAAGCATTAAATTCTTAGAGTTCTACAGTATCCCAAACCTACTCCCTGTTCTAGTGAAATTGTGGTTTTCCTTTGTCTTGTTTTCGTACCCCATTGTTTTTTCTTCTTGGTGCACAGTGTCTTTAGTTAGCATATAGTTTATGATGAAAACCTTACTATTCCTATGCAAGTGGACTGTGGGTGAACATCCCTGGGATCCAGCTTTGCTGTGTCATGGGAACCAGTATTTCTTCAATTCAGTGCCTGGAGGCTTCTTTGAGACACGTGATGTCCCATTATTGGTCTCATCACTGCCTCCGATTCCTGACTACTACCTCAGATTGGTGCTCTATTATTCCTAGTGCATTAGTCTCTCCTGTACCCGTACTTAAAAAAACAAAAAAAAAAATTATAATGTTAACAGTAACACAAATAATGAGTAAGAAATAGAAATAAAAAATGCACTGAGAAAAAAAATGATCATGCTCTGAGTCTGACCTTTTCAAGGCAAGGTATTTTTGAACAGCCAAACCTTTGCACCTTTCTTTACTGTTAAACTTTGTAGTTACTTTAGAAGATGTCTTTTTAACAAACTTACTTTGAGGCCCATGTTAACATGGAACTTTAGGTTAACAAGGTTGTACATTTTAGAATTGAAGAATATATCATTCTTAAAAAAAAAGTTCATTCTGTATAGTAAAAACAAGTCAGAGTTGTGGAGATTTGGCGTGTAATACCCAAGAATTGATGTG